TTTCTCTTATTTTACAGGGAAGAAAGGTATCTATTTAAACAGGGGTGGGGCAAAATGCAGCCCACTGGGCCATTCTATCCAGCCCGTGGGGCCCCTACAAAATTTAGAAAATTAATATTTATCTGCCCTGGCTGCCTGTCATGTGGCCCTTGCCGGCTTGCCACAACTCGGTAAGCGGCCCTCTGCCCAAAATAATTGCCCGCCCCTACTACAGAAGTTAACAAGTAGCAGCAATGACAGCAAACAAAAGCCTACTAAAATAGTAGGCTATTTCAGTGTGAACCTCCTAGTGTTGATTGCATTATTAAAAACTAACTTATGGCTTATAAGAGCTGACACAATGCAAGCACTGGGAAATAATACAAATTTAAGAAGTTTTATTTGGGAAAAAATAAAGAGAGTGTGTAACAACTCTGCTATTATTGCTGTGAATGTGTCATGCTCCTTATTTCACATATGTTCTTAACTTTTCTGGCTCAGGCTTTCCAGAGCAATAACTTGAATACAAACATTATCTCTTCCTACCAATCTCAATCTTGGTATTCCTTATCTACCTGAGCGGTGGTGACCGAGCAGAGCACTTCTCCACGGTATGCACTCATGATCTTTCCAAAAGCAGAAATCACATCAGGAGTCTGACGCAGGCGACCATTTTCAGCAAGCAAATCTGGAAAGAGAGGAACACACAGAAACCAAACGTGAGCAAGATCTTGTGATAAGTTTATATATAAACTTATATATAGAAAGTGCATTCAATGCACGTTATGCATGACAGAAATCCATAGCATGTACCCAAGAACTTCTATAGCTATTTTATGTAGGAAGACCTTCAGCATGAAGACACTGCAGTATTTAATTTTACCAGAGCATGACAGTAATTGCCAATCAAGAGTTCAGACTACTTAGAAGAGAAATGCTTACTTACTGACCAAGTTGACAGTGATGGGGGAGAACCTTTCTTTTACTAAGATATCATTTACAGTTTTTTTCTTAATTGCAGCCTTTACGTGAGGATTCAGGACAACACTAGCCACTTTGGGATCCCTCATAAGAGTCTAAGAAAAAAAAACCAAACCCAAAAAACAGGCTTACCAATAGAAAGAACACTGTAACATATACTTGGAAATTGGTAACATATACTTGGAAATTCCCTATGTTTAATTAAGCAGAACATGGACAACCTGGGTATTCAAAGCCAAGTAGCTTTCCTATTGTCCTACTTAAAAGCTTTTTATGAAAAAAAAAAGTAGACCAGGGAGCAAAAGCATTATAAGCATATGTTCTATATAATGTACATGCATAATTTTAAAGTTTGCAATGCTCAGAATTTGCTAAAGAGCTAGGGAAATTTCTGTTCCTTTGTTGGAAACTATAAGTAAGTTACCCCCAAACAACTGTAGTATCATTTAAATTCTTCACACAGGTTCCTAACCCACCATGAAAACAAATGTTTGCAAATTAACTATAAGTTTCTGACTGAGGTACTCCAACTGTTTGCTTTTATTTCAAAGGGCTTCTCTCCCATCAGTTCTGCAACACACTGACTAACTCTGGGTAACTCAAGAAGCCACACTCTTTGAAACAGCAGCTTATTTTTAATTCAGCAACCTGCCAAGTAGGTTGCTAACCATTTTGATAATAATGATCCACGTTCTACAGTAATTGGAGATTAAATGGTTACTTAAGAACCACACTATCTTGTTTAAAAGATGCAACTGAACAAAGCTCCCCTTACCAATACTCGACTCAGTTCCTTTTCCACCTGTTCCAGTTTCTTCTGCTTAGAAGCAGCAGAGTAGAAAGCAGTAGCATAGCGACCTTCTAGTCCATACACCTGGATTGGAGGCTTGAAAAAACAAGAAGGATCAAACTCCCTGGACCTTGAATGACATTAGGCAAAATGTTCCTTTCTGCTCAGATTTAACAGTAAGGCATTATTCAGCTCCCACAGCTGATAAGAATTTGCTTGAGGTCTACAACAGACAGCATGTAGCAGCTGCCGTGGTTACCATTTCATTACACCTAGTTTCTGGTTATTTGACATTGTGCATGCCAGGCCTGTGGTACTTCAGCAAACCAGAACGCCAATCATTTGAAAGTCCGATCGTGCTGACTAGAAGTAATCTCTGAAAATACAGCTCCAGCCCTATGATTCAAACAGGATAATCACACAGATCTAACAGAACATTAATTATAATTTTTGGAAAACCAATTTGTTATGCCTCCCCAGTATGAAATAAAAAGCAGCAAGTTTAAATCCATATTGTGCTTTTACAATTATAAATAACAAGTTTATTAGCACTGATGTTGGAAATTTCAGAACAACCTCACAGCAAGGTCTTCCCATGTCCTTCAGGACTGGTCTGCAGTGGGGCAGAAGCCATGAGCCGCTGGAAGTCCATTCTACTCCCAGACAGGACCCGTTTCTCAGTGCACATGCTATAGCTTCCTCATGTCTGTCACGCCGAGTGGGAAATCTTAGGGCAGCTGAGACACCTCTGCATTTAGCTGGCTAGAGGCAGAAAACTAAGAGCCAAGCTCTACCAGAACAAAGGTAATCTGCAATTGGCATGTTTTTCTGGGGACCTGCAATTAGAGGGGCTGGTGAAAACAACCTGTCTGAAGTGGTCAAAGGGCACCATGATTGTCATCCCAATCAGGAGACTCCAGTGCACTTTAGGAAACATGCCTCAGTGAAATGCATGCCACACCTCACAGCTTAGCTCAGTGGTTCTCCATCTTTCTACCCTCCATGTCCCCTCCCAATAATCCTCTGAAGTGTTGCATCCCTGGTTGAGAGCTGTTGAGTGGGCTTCTAGCTAGAGCCATGGGGGAGGGGAGGAGGGCAGGACTTCACAGCATCCTAAAAGAGCCAGGTTGGACAAGGGACTCCAGAGGTCAGTTAGTCCAACTCCCAGCCCTAGCCAAAAACTCTCCTGCACCTTCTTTCATCTACACTCTACATATACAGTTGTCAACCCTGACACAACACAGACCTAACACCCTCACCTGCTGCAGGTAAAGCAAGGGAGCCATGGCAGCCAGCATCCTGCTTCTATGAAAATGTTGGCAATATTTTCAGGAGGTCCTGGGCAGAGACCGTGTCCTGCTACAGGGAGGCAACCCCTGACCCGTACCCCTCAGTCCATACCAATCTGACCATGGAGTAAAATTCCTTCCTGACCCCAAACCCGGTCTGTCCCTGAGCAGAGGGGCAAAACCCCCTAGCTGGGAACCTCTGGCTTTGCTTCTAGCAGGAACATTAGAAGACCCCAGCCACAGTCCTCAGCCTTGGCTGTAGCCAACACTCATGGCATTTTTACACATGCTTCCAATGTGGTGCTGGGTGCTTTTAATTAGCACCCATTTGTCACACATCTGCACTGAGAAAGTGGCGGTGGTGGGCTTTGCACTAAAGTGCATGGAACGTGTTTTAGTTCAAATTGCACCACTGTCATGTTATCAGTGACAGAAAGTGTTGGAGGAGGGAACCAGTGAACCTGAAAAAACTAGACAGGGTACAGCTCTGCCTGCATCATCCTGGCCAGCAGCTGCCAACCTGCTGACAGGCTCTCATAGGGCCCAGCTGCTCTCCACACTCCCTGCACCCAAAGGAGCAGCCACAGGCAAGGCTGATCTACACCCCCCACCCCCCCAACAAGGGGCCAGGCCCGACGGTGCCCCTTAAGGTCTAGGGCAGGCCAAGCAGGGGCCACCCCGACACATGCGCAGCACTGCGGACCTCTGGGTGTTCCCTCCCTCGCAGGGATGTCCCCGCGCATGCGCAGCACTGCCAGCCCCTGGGGGTCCCGCTCCCCCTCCCCGGGGCGCCCCCACGCATACACACCACTCCTTTCACCCTCCCAACCCCAACGGCCCACCTTGACGAGATGGGTGGCGGGGCGGACGAGGCCGGTGCTGAAGAAGCGGACCTGAGGGGGGAAGGGGAGAGCAGTCAGGCAGGGTTAGGAGCATGGGGATAGCCGGGGCCCCCGCCTGAGGGCCAAACGAAGGGAACCGGGATGGGCTGCAGAGGTAGGCCCGGCAGGGGAAATGGGGTGCCCGTCACCTTGTGCGAAAGCCTAGCGGCGGCCGCCATCTTCTACCGCTGCCGGAGGTCAAAGCAGTCCTCTTGTGGCCGGCGCCCGGAACGCATGCGCAGTTGATGCAGGCGCGCCGTGGGGCAGGTTGGGGAGGTGAGTCCTCAGGGCCGCGGCTTGTAGTTCTCTGAGCAGGCTCCTCCTCCTGGCGGGCCGGGATCTGCCGCCCGCGCGGCCCGTCAGCCCGGCTGCGGGGCGGCTCCTGACAGCCAGGGGCCGCTGTTGCTTCAGCGTCTGAGCCGCTGCCCGGGCAGGAGCTGCTGGGCGATGCCAAGGGGCGGGATGGTAGCGTCCCTCAGGGCCAGGGCATGTTCACACACTAGCACTGCACTGCCCCCTGCCGAGGGGGAAGGCGGGGCGCTAGGTACGAGGCCACCAACGTCAACATAAAGCTGTCGTTTTAGTCACTTTGTGAGTAGTCCGGGCCCTGCCAGGCGTTACATACCTTATGCCATTTCACCGTGAATCGCACAATAAATGTAGACAGGCTGCGGGTGCAAAGGGACAATCGCACAGTTAACTGGCGAATCAGGCAATGCATGTAGATCAGCCACCATAAAAATGTCCATCCAACTATGAAAAAGAGCCAACTGGTTGGTTACGAAGTTAAGAGCTGTGAGAGGTCTCTAGCTGGTTTTCAGCTTGCATTAGAACGTGTGGCCAGACCTTTAGACCAAAAGCTTCCTAGCAAACAGTTACTTTGGTTTGGAAAGGCGGTAGGTGAGGGCCGTTGTTCTTGAAAAGGTAACGCCTTGAGAGATCTGTTAACGGGCTAGGAAGTCAGTTGTCCTGAACTGTTGTGGCCTGTGTAGCCAAACTCACGTGACTGTTGCCCTGAATGCTCGGCTAGTTAGGCAGGCGAGGTTCTTTGAGTAGATGGGATATCTTTTATTAGACCAAACTTTTTTCCAGCTGCTCAGTTGATCTAATAAAAGATATCCCATTTACTCAAAAAATGTTGCCTGCCTGTGTCCTTAGACCAACAATGGCTATAACCAAAAACCCAGTAGCTAGCTAGGTGCCCTTCTTATAAGAGCTGGCAGGCGTTGGGCTCAATTGAAGTGCAGCCTCTGTGTACGGCACATGGCAGATCAGGGAGGGTGACAGGCAGCGCAGCAGCAGATACGTTAGGAGCATGAAGAGCAGGAGATCAGGTAGGCAGCACAGGGCAGGGCAGAAGCAGAAAGCAGAGGAGATTGAGCAGGGAACAGGGAGTAGAAAGCAGACCAGAAGATGGGGCAGGAAGGGAATCTGGAGTGTCCCTCAAGAAGAGTGTGAGGTAAATATGTGCCCCTCATTGACAGGCATAATTGTCCACTACTCCCTTAGAGCCAGTTGTTAGTGTCTTTCATATTTTCCCTCAGTCTGTTTTTCATTTATCAGCAGGAGAAAGAATTTTTTTTAAATCAGGAAAATAGAGTTATAAAACCCTGAAAATTGACAGGGTAATCTAGGAACAACAATTTTAAGATCCGCAGCTGATTAATTTTCAAGCTGTGATACCAGAATAGTCTGCAGATTTTCCCAAGGTCAGTTTGCTGGAAGTGTGCACTCATACCTAAATGTTGTTTTGCAGGGGAGGATTTGGGGCTTTCTCTTCTAATTTAATGTAGTAAATGTAGTTGCTATATTACAGGACTAATATTACTAGAGTGCTTGTAAAATTCCAGTTCATGTTATTGTACCAGTTTGTTGCAAAGGAAACTAACAACATACAATTGGAGATTTCTAACTTTATTAGCAAAATATCCATAAACATTTTGATTTTTTTAAGTTAACATATTAAAGTCTGTTAAAGTAATTTAAGGGGAAACCGGGATGAAATATTTTTGTTTGTATAGATGTGTTTTTATATGCAATAATAAGTACAAGGAATTGTCTGTAGGTGTGATGGTATACAAATTTAGTTATTTTCATACAAATATTTGGCTATTTGAGTTGTGCAAAAATTCTAATTAGAACAACCATCTTGTATTTTAATAAACACAACTATTAGGGGAGCTGGCAGGTAATTTGTAGTGGGAGTTAAACTTTGCTAGTTTGAAGGTGGACATCAGAGATTTGATTCTAAGGGATACCACATGGGGACTAAGAACACCTGAGTTCTGCTCCCAGCTGCTAGGGGCCTACTACGTTTCCTTGAGCAAGTTGTCCCTTTGTCTCTTCGTGCCCCACCCAGGTTCTGCATTTGTAAAATGGGGCTAATGATTCAGACCTCCTTTGTTAAGAGCTTTAACATCTGGTGGTGAAAAGTGCCATGCTGTATAAATATTGGGTATTATTGTTGTTCTCTTTTCACGTATGCTGTTGTAAACAAGGTGCATTTCCATAGAAATGAGCTGAGTTTTAACATGGGGGAGAAAAAGGAGTCAAATTGGGCTCTTTGAAATCACTAAGGTTGCAGCTAGAAATAGGGTGATAAACCTATTTTTCAAAAGCTCCTCTTGGAGGCCTGAGTGGTAATGTGCAGCTAATTAATGGTATGGGTCTCTCTTTCTAGCAGACAGGTGTCTGGCATAAATACCCTTGAAGTTGGCAGGCTCAGCACAGAGGCCATCAATTAAATGTACACAGAAAGTGAACTATGCCTTGACCTGCTGAAGTGGTTATTTCAGGTCAGGGATGAGACATTGGCAAGGTAAGCTTGCTGTGCTATGCTGTTAGTAACCGAGGCCTTTTCACTACAGAAAAATGCACTCCAAAGGGGAGAGGACTTTTCATCCTTAAAATTTAAATGCTCTGGGTCATGCTAACGTAAAAGTCCTGCAAACTGCTCTGTGTGGCTGGTTCTTTCTCAGTGCTTGCATGGAGCCTGTTTCCTAAGGTGCTATGATCTGCCTCATGGAGCAGTTCACAGAATTGTGGCCTTAGATATGATACAGAGCAAATTCTCATTATATAGTGGTACTACAGCTTGTTTGTTACCACAAGAGGGAAACAAATACTAGTAGTAGGGCTTTGTTAATTAACCATGGAAGTTGAGGGAAGATCTTTGTCCAGTTTTAGGGTGCTACGACACCTCCTCCTATGTCATTACATTTGAACGTATGTCAACAACTGAAGACAGCTATTTCACAGTCCATTTATTCAATATAGTGTGAAATGAATTTCAGGGATTTGCTTGGCTTATTTGAATGGCATAAATATAGCTGTTGGGGAAGTTAGGATAGAATTGAGTTGCATGTTTTTATAGTAAAGTTGAAGAACCCACATGCAAACAAAGGGGAATCTTAGCTTATGTTAAACCTGGTAAAATAAAGATTCTGTTCCCCTTCTTCTGGCTAAATATGAAAGAACTAAAAAAATATTCTAGGAGTCGTGCACATAAATTCCTAGTAATTTTTCTCTCTTGCAAGAACTACAATAGCATTCAGAGGGTTTTTTGAAAACGGAGCTCTTGGATCTTTTGCCTGCTTGCTGTGTGAGTGCCATTGCTGGTTCAGGGCCACATTCTGATCTCATTTACCCCAGAGTAACTGCTGACTTCAGGCATTTCACCAACTCAATTGTTTTGTGCTGTTGCATGTGAGAAGGTCACCCTTATTTAGATCAGAGGATGTGGGCTAAAACATGACAGACCAAGATTTATCTTTACAGCTTGTTTTGGGCCCAGATATTTTAATATGCACAACAGCCCTCCTGTAAGGGGTGCTGCAAAATGTTAAATGTAGGGCTGTTGAGACCACAAACGTTTGAAAAAAAAAAAAAAAGTTGGATGTTACAGGAATCAAACAAAGCTTTAGCTAAATAAATGGCTTTGGTTGATGCTTTCCTAGTCTGCCTTTTAGCATACAAGCCTTTTAGACAGGGACTGTCTTTATGCCTTGTACAGCATCGGGCATTGAAAGCAGTTGAGCATCATTGTTATTTAATATTTGTAAGTCGTGAGTTGGCCTGTGTATTTGCCAGGGTAAATTTGGAGAGGAGACAAATGCATAGAAGCGAAAATAACAGGGTAAGAAATAATAGAAATGAAAACAGAAAGGTTGCTCGAGGACCTCTAGTCCATACCCTGTCAGTGAAGGAGTGGAGATCAGGGCAAAATTTTGAATGTTCGTAGACATTTTGGAGTAATCAAAGAATGCTTGCATAACTTCAGTTTTAGGGAAATTTGGGGAATATCTTCCCACCTCTGTCACATTTGGCTCCTGCCCCTTTTCCCCCTCTCACAACACTTGCATCTTAAAAGGTTCAACATTATCAAAAGTGGTTATGGATCTAAGAAAGATTTCTGAGGGTTAAAATAGGGAATTATAGATGGAAAGGGTAATATCACTCTAACCGATAGCATCTTGCTGTCTTAATTTTTCCCTTCCTGGAAACAGTGATATAGGCTCCAATCCTGGAGGCACTTATGCATGTGCTTAGCTCCGAGCATGTGAGTAGTGACTTCGATTTCAGTGGGGCTACTTGCATGAGCACTCCTGCGCTTGCATAAATATTTACAGGTTCTACAGGAAGTAACCAGGTAAACTGGGATGGTATTATTCCTGATGTAACTTATTTTAGATTCATGGAGTTACAGCAGAGATGAATGTGACCCAAAACATTAAAAACAGCTAGCTATCTCCTGCTCCTTGCCTTTCAATATCCTTATGTATGTTTCTGGCACCATTAAAACTGGCATGCTTTTGAAAAACCTCTTTTCTCCTCATATGCAGCATGGTCAGTGAAGCTAGACAATCACCCTGCTCCAGCAGGAAGCTGTGAGCATCCAGGAGAGATTTCCCGAGGGGTGGCAGATAGTGTGTCTTAGTGGTACTGGGGATGTGCCAGAGGAGCTGAACAGGAGCCTAGAATAAATGCATTGCCATGCCGCACTGGCGTTGCCCTTTCCCTGGCCACTGCTATCTGTTATTGGGGCTGTGCTGGCTAACTGTTGTCCGCTACAAAGCATGAACTTACAGGAAACCGACCCTGCCACTTCCCCTTGAGGCTGACACTGCACTGCTATGGGACCATGTGTAAATAGGGGCAGAAATTAGCATAGTCCAGAGCTGATTTTAGTTCTTCGTTTATGGCTAGGTAC